GATTTTAAAGTAATATAATATACATATCCTGATAAAAATACATTTCTAAAATAATATAAAGTGTTATAACATTTTTCGTTACAATATTTTTCTTTTTTTCTTTCTTTTTTTATTAATCATAGTTAAAACATAGCTAGGCTTTTCTGTTCGTCCGTTTCAAATATCATACGGTATATGACGAGCGCAATAAATTGCGATATTGGATCTCTTACGCCACTGCGATACGTATCGGCAGGAATCATGGTAGAGCGTTCGGGGATTAGCGTATACTAACATATGGAAAAAAAAAACCGGTACATATGTACTCGTTCGTCCGGCTAAAACCGGTCAGTGGATACGCGTCTCTTCTCGTGTTGCTTCTTCGCGTCCTTGTTCCGTTACTTAAGCGAATCTTGCGCGGTATCTGCCTTTAGACCGGGTCAACGCGATACTCTGTTTCATCTCGTTCTCGTCCGCGAACTTGCCATGACGGTGCACGTCGAAGATGGAGAAGGATCCGATTTAGTGGCGCAGGAGATGCCGCTCATGCAGCAAGATGTCGTGCCGTCGCGAAACGGTTTGAAATCGAACAATACTGGTTCCTGGTCAAGATCGTACGAGGAATTTATCTCAACTTGGACATTATGGGATGTTCGTAAATCGCGTAAATCCGGTGAGTGTTGACAAACCGTAACGGTTACGCGATTGTCAATAGTCATCGTCTTCGTCAGTACTTATTTCAACAAAGAGACACAAAAACGACGAATGTATTCCTTCATTAAATCGCTTCTACTGTTTTTTAAACCAAGACTTTTACAAAAAAATTATTAAAAACTTAAATTTACAAAGTTTACATAAAAATGATTTAAATAATTAATAAAAACATATGTAGCAACACGTGCGCGCGGCGTCGCCCTCAGATATATTTTTCTTATCGAAAGAATAACAAACAATTAATATACGTATATTATGTGTTCTAATGTTCGTTAAATGTTTACAAGTTAAAATAATTAGACCGTCCATGTGAGCGTCACAGACATCCTTTTCACTCATTCAACGGAACTGCATATTGTTAACATATGCACACATCTTTCTTCTAGCTTTTCGAAATATGAAACTTTGTCGTACCAGACATGCGAGTAATATACCTATGCCATTCAGGATTCTGTAAGCCAAGCAACGATCTGAGGAGTCAGTCTCTTTTTACTCGTCGACGCGAATGCACCACGCTTTCGACTTCTGTCTAACAAAATAAAGTACCAGTGTTAGCACCAACCGAGTCGCCGTTATTACCGGACCACTCCTTACCCACACATAAATACTATGATTAATCTTAAATCATAATATTCATATTTTTATGAATTAGTAGATATACGAAATATCTGTAAACGTAATAAATACGTGTATAAAGTAATTATTTATATGTAGAAATATTTCATTTATTATCTACATGAGTGATTCACAATTACAAAATTAAAATGAGATATTCATATTAGAATTATTTAAAATTATCATACGTAAAATTTGGAAACTTATATGTACATACATTATTGATGCATGCATAAAAGTGATACTTGAGTTCTCAAAAAAGAACTTTTTTAAAAAGTTCTTTATTTAAAAAAAAGTAATTATATCACAAAAAATATGAATAAAAGATGTAATAACAAAATAAAGATATAAAATGATATGGAATTCCTGAATGTGTGTGTGTGTGTGTGTGTTTTGTGTGTCGCGACACATTAGTTTTGACAATTGTCTGATAAGTTTGAACTTATCAAACAACAATTAACGTTTTTAAAATAAATTTAACTTATCCTGATCATACAAATTTTACAAAGTTCCATGAAATTTGCACACAGCAAATTTCGCGAGATAGTTCACGAGCCATAAAGATATTTCAGGTTAACGACATTAAGTCATACATGTCGGCGCTATCGTGGCGTGAGTTTACAAGTTCGGTGCTTGTGAACAGTTCGCGATTTGTGTTTTATGTGACCGCTATCATGCGACTCGGCTCGAATTTATCGGACAGACGTGAGATTTTACGGGCGTTATCGGTGACAATAAAAGTCACAGAATAATGAACGTTTGTGTCATCGTCGGACTGAGCTGACATGACCATGTTGCAGGCAACGAGATGAATTACAAGGGCAGCGGGAAGGTCCACTTCGGGGTGGACGACGTGTCCCTCTATGGGACGCCGAAGGAGGAGCCGGGCCCGGGCCTCCCGGGCCAGGAGGTCAAGCAGAGCTTCCTGAAGAATCAGCTTCAGGCCCTGTTTCAGCCGACGGACAACAAGTTGGCCATGAAGCTCTTCGGCAGCAAGAAGGCGCTTATGAAGGAACGGATCAGACAAAAAGCCGCAGGTCACTGGGTCATCCATCCTTGCTCCAGTTTTCGGTATGTCCTTCGAATATCTAACTGATCTTATTCAACAGGCCGCATCAATATTTTGCGCTATCACATTTCGTTCCGGCTGAAAAGTACGTTCTGCCAAGAAATACCGGCCTCAGACGCAGCCTAATATCTAAGTCTGCTCGAATAAACTCGCGTACGATACATCGATCCCGCGTTCTCCATAAAAAGGAACAAAATTCTGCATACACTTGTCCCTTATAAAGTTGACATAAGGTTTGCGCTTAGAGATAACTAGATATATTGTTTTATTAAAAGCGTTATTTATATCTGTCACGATGATATCAGGGCGATGATTCGTGTTATTTTATAATAATTAGATACGATATAATACAAATTCATTCCTACAATATTATAATCTTCATTCTTTTTTGTAAAAATAAAAGATGTAAAAATTTATTTTCTCTAACACTTCGTAACTTACATCAATCATGAAATGTTCTTTACGAGACTGATTACCTTCCAGGCATTTTAAAAGGAAATGGTTAAAAATGAAAAATTACTTCTCTTTGCAAGACTTACTTTTAAATTAATGTAAAAAATTATCCGATTGTGTCAGTCAAGTTTTACGATTAGTTTTAAAAAATACGATTTTTAATTCTAATTTAAATCACTATCCTTAGATGTAGAGTGATTTTATAAAGAATATTATTCGAACATGAATATATCACGTATATGCCGTATACTAGTGAAAGTAATAAATGACAAAAGTCGCTAAGCGAGCGAGCGTAAATCAACGACTCGTGCCGGCTTACTCGCAATCCGAAACTTTTCGGCTTGACTACGATCCCGGATACGAGAAACTAGCGCCTTTGTGCCGCAGTAAAATATCTGCCGTATCCGGATTGTTCATCGTGTAGGCTTTCCGAGCTGTCCGAATGAGGCGCATGTCTCCGATCTTGAGGACCAAAAAAGAATGCGTTTGATCTACGGGCTAACATGCGTTACTTGCAACTTCAATCGATCTGGGTCGCGCGGAATATTCAATGGCTTTACAAGAGTCACGGATTTAGTTATGTATATGCTCGTGTATGTACAGTTGAGCAGTCGACCTCGCCTAGCCACGAAATAACATAGCATTGAGACTTTACGGCCTCAGGAAGAAGCCTCCGTCAGGCCTTTCGCTTCCTTCCGGAGTCGCTTTATCGATGGCAAGCCACAATCCGTCGCTGAAGTCAGGACGCGTACTATCGACTTCTCGTAGAGAAGGTTGACATCCTCGTCGAGCCATTTACGGACAAATGCATCGATTAGAATGACAATAAGCGTTCAAGAATGCTTGCTCTACCAAACGATAATGGATAGGCGATCTTCAATTAATGGTAATTTCTTGCAGAATTAACCATTAATCATCATTAGTCGAAAAAAAAAGGATTATAAGAGTATGAAGTGTATTTGAAGGATTTGTATTAGTAAAATCCTAAATATACCTAAATAATATGGAATTCATAATATAAAATCGAGAATAGAAAGTATACTAAAAGTTCGAAAAAGAACTCCGCACTAATTATGTTATGAAAAATTGGTTCGCCGATAAAATGAATTAGTTTTCACATATAATGTGACTTATATAATGTGATGAACAAGAGACACAAGGTTCAATAATAGGTAATTTTTTAGCTGAGTGGTGCATCAAAGGTATAAAAGTTGTGCTCACAGAGCACTTTTAATAATTCAAAAACTATCTATTACTGAGTTTATGACAGCGGAATTTAATTTTCCATGTATAGTGATTAATATGTACGGTTTTTTATTCTCGATCCATTTAAAACAATTTACAAGTATTTAATGCTTAAAAATTAATAGAATATAGCTTTTTCTCAGATTTGCACAATTTAGCTTTTGATAATTTACCGAAGAATTGTTGTTATAGTTCAATTTTTTTCCTATTCAATGTGTTTCTATTACTTGTGCGAATTTTTTTTTTTTCATTTTCGATGCGAAAAAACTGTTTTGCGTGGCGGAAGAAATCAACGGAACAAATTCGCGCGGCTGAAAACGAGCGAATGGTGCCTCGTTACAATATCAAATTGCCAATATTAACTGTGCATGGCGCAGCGTGCACAGTTCCATAACGCGCGAAACACTATACTCGGCCACGACTCTGCAGCAGTGACGGCGGCGGCGTTTGTCATTCCAATTGGTTGAAATTGCCCGGCGCTTCCGTTCGGAATCTTGGCTAATTACCGGCAGCGTGGAGGATTCTCCGTAGCCTTCTCTACGATTCCACTAAAACGCGAGACTCTCGTGGGCATTGAAACTTTAATTCGTTCCTCCGTTAATGGTTGCGATATCTTCCGGCAGAATGAACGTAACCAACGGTCGTTCTTTACGCGACATGTAACGCTAATATTCAACTGCTAAATTATACAAATGAGCGTCAATAGTGCTCCATTTTCCAATCGTTATTATATAGATCAAATATCCATATAATAAAAGTCATATAAGCTCTCGCGTCTGATATGTTTTATTTGAATAACGTGACATAGCGAGGGACGTGCCCTCGAATTAATGGATATATTATTTAAACACGTGCAAGTATCGTCCAATCTTTTTTCTCTTCAGGGAATAACGATAATAATTTCAATAGGTTCATATTGTATTAATATTATACAGTGCATGTGCTTTTATTTATTTCACTTTATTTTATGTGTATAAGTTATTTCTTTTCCAAACAGTCTCACGAAAAAAATATTAGTCTTTTTAATCAAAAATTCTTCAAATCTTCTTAAACATCTTTTCAATATCCAGCTTTATTTTTCCAATACTTTTCCATTGTTTGTAACTTTTTTATTAATAAACATATGTACATACATTTTCTTGGTACTATTATTTTTTAATATCTGGCGTTTTGATTGAAAGACATTTTTTTACAATATGTTTATTTTTATTAAAGTTATAAGCAATTGAATTGAGTGATATGATTGGGTCATACCCACAATGTGTTGTTCCCGTAGGGTTTGGCATTTAATATACTAAAAAAAAAAAATAAAAAAGTAAATACCACCGAAATATTCGCAAACATTACGGAATTACAGATACACCGAAAATCAGAGCGGTATCGCGGTTTTGAGAGGACACGTGCGTAAATGAATGTGCTCTTTGATCTATTGACCAAAATATAAATGATAGCCGAAATACCCGATAACACGTGTCGTATAGTTGGCTGGTAATGTCGCTCCGTCAGCAGTTCATTATCCGAACATCCCGAACATGCATAGCTCTATAGGAGATATCATGTTAATGGAGATTCATCCTGAGCAATTAACAGAGGATCCTAAACACGACATCGATGCTCGAGTTTCGATACGATAGTTGATTTTCAGCACCTAATATTTAAATCGCTTAAGCAAATTCTAGACTAAAGACGATGTGATGATAACAATTTGTAAGATCATTACACTCTTAAATCAAGAATACTACGTAAAAGTGAACTAAATGATAGCAAGAATATAAATAAATGCCAAAATTACCGAATACATCCAAATTATTCAAATAGTTCCGAAAGTATATATGTATAGATAGCGAGACCGTGTCTTCCGGATAGTCTCACTGAATTTCAGCTGAAGCGAAACTTTATTGGAAGCTTAGTACCGGAGATACTCTGTGCGGAATATTAAAAATTTACGATGCACAATGCTGACAATATCATTTCCTTCGTTTTAATATGCGGCCACTAAATCGCTGTCCTTCGCTTAAATACGTTGCATGAATTCGTAATTCGCCGAGTTCAATTCGCCTCGCGCGGTACGTGGCATTCATGATGACACCATGCATACGACAATATCTCGCGAAAACGTTGTAGAATTCGAAAATATAAGAGAAAATATTTTTACGCGTACAGTCTGAAAAAAAGAGGAGGAAACTCTTATTTTTCTATAGGCCGCAGGAAATAAAATGATTTTGCCATAAAAGTTTCTCTCATCATGTTTGCGGTTGCACATATTTGTCTGTTCTACGTCGGTTGGAATTGCCGCGTTGAACATAATTTGACAGGATTCGGTCGCGAGAACACGCTCTCTTTCACCTAAAGGGAAAGACTTATAAATGTGAGACGTCATAAAAGCGAACATAAACCACGCTACTTAACTCCGGACAGTACATTAAATACGTTCTTTTTTCCTCGTTTCGTGTTAAATTGTATAAAAAGTTGTATCTCCGGTGAAAACGACTTTCTTCGTGCTTGATTTACCATTGATAATGTTAAGATATATAGACTGAGCTCTCGAGCGAATGATTTATCGCGCCATCGGAATATTCGGCCGTTTCACATTTAACGGTTCCTGCTTTCGGATTCGTGAGAGAAAATATTATACTTGCGGTTTCCTGGTACTGTAAAATTTCCCTTGTAACTTTTAGCACGCGCTCAGACCTCTTTTTACGTTATTTTATGTATCAGTAAAGTATTTCGCTGTGTACATATTTATCTGAATCTAATCATATATTTCTTTAAAAATAATAAAATAAAAAAACGCACTTAAACGATAATTGCTGCTCTTCGAAGTTGTCAGCAGATAAGTCTGTCTTTCGACATTGCGGAGCTAAATGCCAGGTTTAAACAAAGGCATCAGAAAATATAATAAAACCCGAATTATTTCTTTTATGTTTCGAAGTGAAATGCATTTACTTATGCACTGCAACGTCGTAAAAGAAAGAAGATAACATTTTCGATGTCTGAATAATCAAAAGTAACGGTAAAAATCCTTAGTGCAGCTCGCATTCGTAACGTGTTCTACGCAGTTTCGCTTTGACGTAAAAGAAAATAATTGCACTGGCCTGAGAAGTAACGTATTTACAGTGACAACGATTATTATTATCTAAATAATTATCGTATCATTATGGTGCACATTGGCTAACGTATAATCACCTATTGCTGCGCAATGATCCATTCTAGGCCATGTTCCGACATATACATTGTCAGTACTGAAATTCTATAGTATACGTAACACGAAGATATTTTCGGTGCAGAGTGTATACGGCGGTGT